CACCAGTGTCACCAGTGACCCCTTGCCACTGAGTTTAATGAACACTGTTCAGCTCCTGGTTTCTGGTTTGGCCTTCTGAACCATGGTTCCTGGGACTACTGCCTTTGGGTAGAGCTTTCTTCAATGTTGTCTTTCCCCACAAAGCCCACAGCCCCAGGGGGAACACCCAAACCTGGCCCCGGGCCCTCTCTCTTCCCCAGGCTTCCTTCCACACACTTGCAAGTCACCTCAGGGCCCTGCAGAGCCTCCTGCCAAGGATCTCTCCAGTTCATCCCTTCCTCTCTGGTCCCTGTACTGCCCTTGCCCCACCCCCATCCCCTCTCATAGGTAAAACCCTCTTGGACCCCCACTGCCCAGTCCAGACTCCTTTAGGCAGCCCTCTTGATTCTGCTCTGTGGACCTGAGCTCACCAGACGTGGAGAGCTGGACTCACTGGGACTCCTTTGCCTTCAGTTAGCTGTCCCAGCTCTACCTTCCTGTGCAGATGGTATGCTGCTCAGTTCAGGCCCCCCTGGTCACTGGGCATCCGGTGCCAGGAGTGCATGTCCCAACTGGGGCATCTGTCTCTCTCCAGTGCCCATTGAATATTGGTGAAATAAGTGGAAAGGGAGGTACTGGTCAGAGACACCACAGAAGTCTGTCTTCTGGGCTTCACCTGTCTCTTGGATTTTAAGTTGCTAGCTGCTAGCTTCTCTCAGCTTCCTCCTTGCTGTGGGCAAGGAGAGCCGAGGGAGGTTCTAGGGCAGACTGTACTGAGTAAAGAGCAGGGACCAGGGTAGGGTAGAGGAAGGCCAGGGCAGCCAATCTGTGGTGTCTCTTCTTAGTCCCTGTTTTTCTTTCTCACGTTTGATTTCTCAAGACTACAGGTCTGTGTTCCCTTGTCTGAGCACCCTCTTTTCTCCCAGAGTTCAGGGCTGGATAAGCACCTCTTTTCCTTCAGCGGCCCCTCAGCCCTAGCCGGCACTCCGGCACCCCCAATTCCTGCAGCCTGCACTTGCCTGAGACGCGGCGTGGACACTCGGTGCTGTGACCCGGCTTTTCCCGGAGCTCAGGGCGGCCGGGTCTTTAAGGGACTGGCCAGACGCAGGGTGCGAGAGCAGCGCCCGACTGAGCTGAGCAGGCAGGGGCTCCGGGAGGGTGGGCGCGCCAGGCGAGACGCACAGCCAGTTCCGCTAGGCTGGGTAGAACTGCGGCGGTGGGAGGGAGGCAGCCGCGCGGGAGGCCGACCACAACCACAGCGGCCTCGCGCCTGGAGCCCCTTCCCAGCGTGGGCAGCCGACCTCGCCCCCAGCAGCACCCCACGAGCAGCGTTCCCACCGGTGCCTCCTGCTCGCCTTCGCTCCTCTGGGTCACGTTTTGCAAGCACCCCGGCTAATAATTCCCGCCCGCCCACACGGTCTCGGTCTAGGCAGCTCCCAGCAGGACGACCTCGTCTGCAGTCTCCAAAAATACTGCAGCCCTGGAGGCCCCTGATGCTGTGGGGGCAGGGAGTGTTTTCCCAGGGGTGGGACTTCTTTTCAGCACCCGGTTCCCAATCAGCCGTGATGTGGCTGCATGCCTCTTTCGGCACGGGTGAAGGACAGGGAGAGTGTGCTGGACAGAGGCACTTTGAGGCTGGACTGTGCTGCAGGGAGACCTGGATGGTCCTGAAGTTTGACTGTGAGGGCACTTCTACCCACTGTCCCTTCATTCCAAAACCCACCCGATGTGTCCACGCGCCAGACAACCTTCCCACCGAGCATAGCCCAGTGAGGACCTGTTGCAGCCATCTTCCACTTGCAGATGAGGAAATCCAGAGGATGAAGGTCTCATTTCCACTCCTTGGCTGGAGCAATTCTCCTCCAGGTTGGCCAGTAGGGATGTGACTTCGAGAGGATGTGTAGATGGAGCACTGCCTCCTTTGCTTCACTGCTGTGTTCTCAGCACCCAGCCCAACACTGAACTATCGCATGTTCAGGGCCCAGGTGTTTGGGTTATTGGAAAGAACCAATTTCCTTTCCCGAAGAGACCTCTGGTAGAGCTGGGTCTCTGTCCACTCCCACCCCCCAGCTGAAACACTGAAAGACTCTGTTGCTGCTCAGAGGTAGGAGGCACTGTCCCCAAGAATGACCTGCCATACCAGCACAGCATCACCTCCTCTCTTCTCAAAACAGGGCCAGGAGAGGAGGTGTGCCTCACAGGGGCCGCTGGAGCAAGGCGGAGAGGACATCCACCTGCACTGGAGGGAAGGAAGTTTTTGGAAGTCCACAGTAGGAAAAGAAGGGAATGGAAGACTCAGGCCTCACTTGCCTCAAAGCTCCAAGGGATGGTAGCTCTTGCTTTCTATATGATCATTCTTTTAAAAAATATATTTTTTTATTATTTTTATTTTATGTGTATGAGTGTTTTGCCTGCATGTATGTAAGTGTACCCATGTCATGCAGTGACCGTGGAGGTCAGAAGAGGGTGTTGGATCCCCTGGAACTGGAGTTATGAATGGTTGTTAGCTGCCGTGTGGGAGCTGGGAACTGAACCCAGGTCCTCTTCAAGAGCAGCCAGTGCTCTTAATCACTGAGACATCTCTTCAGCCCCTACGTGATTATTCTTTAATTTATTCCACCACGATTACCAGCACTTCTCTGTGCCTGCCCCCTCTCACCTCAGGCATTAGGGTTACCATATCCTCTTTGGGAAGATCTGACCTGGGAAAGGCAAATGGGGGAGAGGCACCGTCCTCCCCTAGCTCAGGCTTTACATCCCACATTCCCATCTTCCATCACAGAGGTGAAGAATGAGGGTGGGTAAAAGGAAAGGGTTTCTCGTACATCAAGGAGGAGCTGAAGTTGATGCTGATGCTGAGGAAAAATGAGAAGGGACATGAAGGAGGCAGTGGAGAGAAAGCTGGTTTCTCTTGAGCTGGAGGAACCAGTCTCTACAACTGACCAGCATTTGTGAAATTCACCCTGATGAAGGTTGGTCTGTTGTTGTCAGGGAATTGAACTCTGTGGCTGTGAAAAGCAGAGAAGAGGCTGGGATGCAAAGCCTAGCTATGTGACTTTTTCTAGGGCAACCTGAGTCTTTTATCTGAGAAGTCTAAACTTCCTCATCTGTCTGAGCTGGGCTGTCTGTCTTGGCTTGTTTTCCAACTTCCACTGGTGTCTTCTGTGTGCCTGGTCCTTGTATGTCCAAGGGGGAGAAACAGACCAGAGCCACTCAAGAGTGATCAGCTGTCCCTGGAGCTAAAGGAGCAAAGCCAGGGGAGGCTTCTGAGAAGAGTCATCCGCATGGGTCCTGGGAGAATGAGACTGTTCCCCAAACAGGACATGGCATGGTGTGTCTGCAGTGGTCAAGCAACATTACTGCTCCTGGAGGTGCAAGCATTGAGGGTGGAATTCTGCTTGTACATCTGGGCCTCCTAACCTCAACCCCCATCCCTACTTGTAAATAGGTCATAATGTAGCTCTCTGGGACAGCCTATCCAGTTGTTTTTCCACTTAAGTTAAACACTAACATTTATTAAGTACGTACTATGCACCCTGTATGGTGCTAAGGATCAGAAAAAAAGGCAACATTCATCATATTTAGGTAGGCTTAACAATTGTTTTTGTGAGACTAGGGATATAGCTAAGTGGTGGAGTAACTGCACAGCATGCACAAGAGCTTGGGTTCAATACTCTGAATGGAAAACAAGCAGACAGGGCTGGAGAGATGGCTCAGTGGTTAAGAACACTGGTTGTTCTTGTAGAAGACCCAGGTTCAAATCCCAGCACCCACGTGGCAGCTAACAACTGTCCGTAACTCCAGTCCCAGGGGATCCAACAGCCTCTTCTGTCCTCCGTGGGCATTGCACAACATGGGTGCACTTACCTACATGCAGGCAATACACACATACACATAAA